AACCAAAATGAAGGAAAACCCCAAGGGTGCTAGAAAAATATAATAGAAGAATTTGAGGGCCAAAATTCAATTATCCATTCAAGTAAGCCCCCTCCTCATTTTGCTATGCTATCCGAACATCAGGATACAAGCAGAGAGTAGAGTCTAAACTCCAAAGAAAGAAGAAGAAGAAGAAGAAGAAGAAGAAGAAGCTAAGGATATGGCGTGCGCAAGCACATCGGCTTTCACAACTTGGAACATGTCCTCTCTGAAGTCCGCACTCCCTTCAGCACAAACATTTTCGAAGCCTTCGCTCCGCTTCTCCGTTGGGTCCAAGCCCAAATCCACTTCCAGACTTCTTCACTCCTTCGTTGGTCTCGCTCCATTGCATCCGCTTCTTTCTCTTAGTTCCCAAGGTACTTTTGGAATTCTGCATTAATTAATTGATTAGTTTGTTACGTATACCATACGAAAAGTTTGCATTTTTAGTGCAATAAAATCCTAATTTATTGCATTTGGATGTTGATATGGCGTTTCCATGGATATTGAAGCCATCCGTTTAATGCATTAGGCATTTCATATTGATAATAGTTGTTATTACTGGTATTATCTGGGATGTAGCTAATGTTGCATTTCTACTGCTTGAGTTCATATTATGTTATTCGGTGAGTGTTTGAATACATGTTTTTACAGTGTCATAATTAAGATACTTCTAGGAAGAGGGATTGTTTTAGGGATTTTAAGGTTGGATTGCCTAGACTAGAATATTGTTGGTCAGCTGTTGATTCTGCCATATATGACATCTATGGGCAAGGACAGATGCACAATTTAGGCAGTGGGTGATTTTGGCTAAAACTATATACACATGTATGTACGTAGGTATGTGTCTGTACACATACACATACTACAACAGTATTGTAAAGGAGTAGTAGATATACTTGTACTTTCCATTCACCAACTTAATATCCTGGATCCGTTTCTGTTTATGGGGTGGTCTGTATCCCATAAGCTCAAGTAATTTATGGATTTGGGATTAGGACGGGACATAGAAAAACAGGTTACATGAAATTGGTACAGACCGTTGTGTTTTTTTGGCGCTAGTTCTCTCATCTAGTAGCTTTACTATTTCCTCATGTACCTTTCCAGTCGAATTATTACTATGTATATGCTTTCCTCAGTTGGTGTAAGGTGAATTTTGTCTTACCTGTTTTGTTTAAATCATTTCCAATAATGCCCCAAGAGCCCCTGAACAATTTTTACCTCTGTACAGCATTTAGTGCAACTACATTGAACTCTTGATTATTGTCTTTTCTTTTATGGTTGCTTATGTCAGTTTGTCGATGCTCTTGCTTTAGGATATTTGATCAAACTAAAGTCTAGCTGCAGTTACTGTAGTCATTCTAGCTCCCCGAGTTAGTCAAGTAGGTCAAGCCGAGTCTAGTCACCCTGTAAGAGAAAGTCACGTAACCAAATTTCTTCTTAATTGAGTTTTATTTTCAAGCTTCAGTCTGAAAGTTAATGGAAAGGGAAGAGAACTTCCTTTTCTAGTTGTCTTGTACTGTGAGGGTCTCTTTCCCAAGGGCTCTATGCCAATCAGTGTCACCCCGCATGTGGCTCACACCATTCAAGGTTGCCCGGCCCAGCATCCTTCGCAAGTCCTGAGTGAAACTGACACTGCGAGTTTGATATCTGGCTGCGAATTAAGTCCAAGCATGTAGTTAGTCATTAGCAATTATTAGATCTTGTGGAAATTGGTATGTTCAGAGAAGAGGGATTCTTTGAGATCATTCATCAAATTTGATTGAGTCCTGATGTATAGCTTGCCTGATTAGCTCAAACCATACTGTTTTTCATCTGCAAAGATTGGATATTGTGAATATTTATATATTTTAGTTTGGGCATAGAACTTATAACATGATATAAGTGCGGATATTCTCGCAACAAACATATGATGTCTGAGGGTGGAAAAGGTTTCATGAGTCATTTTGTGGAATTTGGAGAATGTGAAAGCGTAGAGAAAAATCTGGTTTGCAGATGAACATGGAATGTTGCTTGTTAAGTAATTCCGCAGTGCAACTTCTGCATTTCAAGCTATATTGCTTTATTATTTCTACACCTATGTTTTTCTTTAAGTTGATAAAGTTTCTAACCTAAAATTATAAATTGCAGATTCAACAAGTTTTGAGCACTCATTTACTGTGATTGATAATGGTGGCCGGTTTTCCGCCATGAGACATGGCAGGAAGGTGCCCAAACTGAATAGACCCCCAGATCAGCGTCGGGCACTCTTACGAGGCCTCACGACTCAGCTCCTCAAGCACGGACGTATAAAGACCACTAAAGCAAGGGCCAGGGCAGTGAGAAAGTATGTCGATAAGATGATCACAATGGCAAAGGATGGCACTCTCCATAAGAGAAGGCAAGCCCTTGGATTCATCTATGAGAAGCAGATAGTGCATGCATTATTCGCGGAGGTCCCGGAGAGATATGGAGAGAGGAATGGAGGATACACCAGGATAATAAGAACTCTGCCCAGGCGAGGAGACAATGCACCAATGGCTTATATTGAGCTTGTCTAGCAACTGAATAGTCATTTTAAAGATGTTCTTATTTATTTTTGTTCAGAAGTCTGATTCAATTAAGAGAATTTTTTGAGATCTAAATATGATTCCATCTCAATTCTTTATGCATTTCAGTTGAAATTGCCCTTTACAAAGTGCAGTTTTGTTTGTTTGCTCACGTTTGATTTATTAAAGCCTTTTGTTGCTGACCAGTACAGATTATCTCAACTCCAAAGGGATTTACCAGTAATATTTGTATGGTGGTGTGTTTTCTTTCTTTTTTTGATTTCACGTGTACTTGAGGTTGAAAGGCAACACATTATATCTTTGGGCTGAACAAAGATTGCTAAGAGTATGATACCCAAAAATAAAAATACTGCAACGACAAATTGCACAAAGGGAGTGAATTAGATGCATATCATGTGTTTGAACCCTGTTGTAGACAGAAGTGTCGTATTTAATTAGAAAAGGATAGAGGAGTGAACATATTGTCCGTGCCAGCTGGCCCTCGGGTATTTTTCGATTAAAAACGATAAATTGAACAAAGGGATGTATATTATGAGTTTGAACCCTGGTGTAGACGAAAGTGTGATACTTAGGACCGTTTGGCCATAGATTTTGCCAAAATAAATTTAGATTTCATTTGGCAAATACATGTTTGGCCATAGATTTTGGTTACATTTTGGCAAAATCCCAAAACCAGAGGCCAAAATATTACTATTACATTTTTTAAAAATTGCCCCAACCTTTTGTATTTATAAAAGAGCCTAGGGGTGTGCATTCGATTTATCGATTCGATTTTGACCCTTATCAATAATTACTTATCGATTATCGATTTGTACATATGATATCGTTATCGTTTCAATAAGGTTTCGATTTTTTCGATTTCGATTTATCATTTTTGGGGCTTATCGATTCGGTTATCGATTACACCAATAAGAAAATTTGCGGGATTCCACGGAAAGTATATCGCTATAAACACGCCTAACTAATATGGACAAAAAGAAGCTAAAATAATACGAACATCGTTTATAACATAAAATTGTGTCAACAAAAAGAAGATAAACCGATAATCGAATAGGACAAAATCGAAATCGAAATCGATAACTCGATAAGGAAAATTTCGAAATCGAAATCGAAATCGATAAATCGATAAACCGATAACATCGATTCAATTTATCGATAAACCGATTCGAATGCACACCCCTAAAAGAGCCCACCATTTATCATTTTGTAACAATGTTGCTTCGTCTTCTCGGTCATCTGATAGTGTATCATCTAGTTCATTATAAAAATGATAATTTTGTACAAAATTTATTTATGTTCAGGACTATGGTTTGCGATAATATAATTAACGCTATTGATAATGGTACTATTGGGTATTTGTGGTAGTTTTTAGAACTTGTGGGTATAGACATGTTTCATGTTTTTTCAAAATAAATTTGGGAAATATATTTTGAAAATTGATGTCCAACACATTTTTATCTTCAAACCAAATTTCACCCAAATCAGATTTTTTAAAACAAATTTGGAAATCTGTGGCCAAACGCTAACTTAAAGAAAGATAGAGGATTGAATATATTATCTGTGCCAGCTGGCCCTCGGGGGATTTTTTGATTGAAAACGATAAATTGAACAAGGGGACAAAATGGTTCCCGGATCAAAGGCAGAAAGCTTTTACTAGCACGAAAAAGGAAATTTGGAAAGAGTATATGAAGATACATATTACCTAGTAAGAAAAATGCTTGCCGCTGTAATATTTACACTAAATTAAATAACTTAATCATAAGAGTTACAAATAAATCTGAAAATAAATAATATTTAAATATTATTAAGTGATACGTAAAGGTATATATGCAAGATAAATTTTTTTTGGGCTGTGAACAAGTTACATGCATAAGCTAGCTGTATAGGGTCAAATTTGACCCTCAGCATCTCTACGCCAGTGGGTACGCCCAGTGAGTGTACGCCGACTAACGTAGCGGGTACGACTCGGCCGTGGGGACAAAAGCGACATCGTTTAGGACTCGGTGTCTTCACTAGGGAGACGTTACCTGTTTTGTAACTTTTTGATTCTTTCGAGGAGGGTCTCTTATTATATAAAGGAGACCCTCACATTGTAAAAGGGGCATATGATATAATACAACTCTCTCATTTTTCTAGCTTTCTCTCTCTATCTCTACTTCAAACGAACATATCTTATTGAGTTCATATTATCACTTTGCAATACTAGATCTACAACAATATTATCATCTTTGCATCTCTATGATTATTATATTTGATAACGATTTACCCCTTTTTCTACTTTTGATTGTTTTTTAGCTTACAAAGTATATCGTTAACTTTTGAGTCAAACACTAGCTTTACATTACGGCAATTGTAAGAGAATGGGTGAATTATAGATGTTTTACATAAGAGGATTGGAGGGGTTAAGTTGGGAAATCAGGAGGGGATAAGAAAGCAGTAGATAAGGTAGGATCAGGGTTTGTTGTATTTTCCTTTCTACTCTATCATTCTTCATAGCCCAAGATATATAAAAACCAGACACAAAAGGGAAAGCCTTTAACCACTCATTATGTTAGCTTCAACAGCTCTGAATCTGGGTTCATTAGGCAGTTGTATAGTGAATGTGTCAGCCCACAGTTGCCATCTACAGTCGCTGCCATTCTTGGCATTACCAAATCCTATAGTCAAGCCTTTTCATGGAAGCTGGAAATTAACTACACCATTCAAGACTGCCGTTGCTGCTGTTGATTCCTCTCAACCTGCCCAAAAGGTTTGCAGATTTTACTTTTTACGAAATTGGTTCGCCTATTAAACTATCTAGTATTAGAATATGTTTAAATATACTACCTACTTTTTAAATGACAAGTTATGTTTCTTGATTTAGTGCTGCACCTTTAACCACTCATTTGTCTTGATAACCACTTTGTTCTTATCTTTTGGTACTACATTTAACTGAACTTCTGGCAGATACATTACATTCTTCTATTCCGAGAAAGATCAAGAAATCTCACCCTTTCTTAGATTCATGGACCCAATTTCAATTCAGTGAGATCCTTCGTTCACATTTTTCTACCAAGAACATTTTCTAAAACTCTCTGACCCCCAAAAGAGAGTAGCTCTTTCTTGTTCACTTTTCTACACTGAAAATTTCAAGTTGCTATTTCTTGCTTTTCTAACCAGAGAGAGAGATCAGATATTGCTTTTTAGGAAAAGTGTGTTTAGTCCTTTTACGTGTTTCAAGCCTAAATCTTTTGTGTTCTTCATTCACGTTTTTCAACAGAAATGAGTGAATTTATATACACTAACATCATATCAATGTAACTTAACTAGTTTCAGTAAGCCACCAATTGAAAATGTCCATGCTCTCTTTTTTTAATCAAAATTCAAAACTGAGGCGATTTGATCCCATGATGTGGAAACTAATGCCCCATGTGCCATGGTATGGGTTTCCATGTACACGGAATAATCTCAAGTTACAAACTTACAATAACCATCTCATAAACGCGACACGATAAGTGCATTTATTTCTTTTCTGGTAAAAATCACAAGAGCGTTCTATGCTTATCTGGAGACATGGATCATTGTTATGTGAAATGAAGGCAAAAACTTCAAGTAACTCCTTTTTAGGTAAGTTATCTAGCAAAATGCCATCCTTTTTCATGTTTAGATTTTCACTTTCACATTTCGTTGATATGCTGATCTGCGAGTATCCAGCGCAATCTTCAATTACTGTTTGACATTTTGTTATATATACAGCAAGACACAGAAAGGAAGAAGTACTATTTTCTTGTTGCAAATGCCAAATTCATGCTGGATGAAGAGGAGCATTTCCAGGAGCAATTGTTTGAACGTCTTCGTCTCTTTGGAGAGCGCAACATGGAGCAGGATTTCTGGCTTTTGATTGAGCCAAAATTCTTGGATAAATTCCCTAATATTACCAAGAGACTGAAGAGACCTGCAGTAGCTCTTGTCTCAACAAATGGCCCTTGGATCACGTAAGTGCACTCATTTTCAATACCCTAAACTCTAGTTACCCTCTTTTCCCAGTTTATGCATCATAAGAAAATGCAAGAAGGTATATGCGTTGATAAGCAAGTCAATCAAAGTCGGATGCAGGCTAATCTTTACGGTTTTAACTGAACCCAATGTTTTTGACATGGAACATATGTATGTGCGTGTGCGCTTGCACATTGATAAACTTAATCAGAGTGGGATACAACATATCCTCTATGGTTCTAGTTGAACCCAGTATTTTTGACACAGAAAAGGTATATGTGTGAGAAAAACCACTAAAATTTTAACAAGGAAAATTCAAAATCCATAATTTAAAAGTGAAACAAGTTTAGTGCTAAGCTATGTTCTGCGGACTCTCCAAAATGCTGTCGCACTCATGTCGGATCCTTCAAAAATGCACTACTTTTGGAGGATCTAACACGCACCTGGCGACATTTTCGGAGAGTCCGAGCAACATATGTGCTAAGAAACTTAAAGATTGAACTCATCGAATTTAAATCCTTAATCCGCCTTTTGTTATCCCAATATGTATCTTCACGTGTTTCTTGGGTGTTGTAGGTTCATGAAGTTGAGACTAGACAGAGTTTTGCAGGAGAGCTATGAAGCTGACAGTCTAGAAGAAGCTTTGGCATGTACTCCTGTTAGTCTTAAGTTTGAAAAGCCAGAGAAGTGGGTAGCGCCATACCCAAAGTATGAATCAGAGTGGTGGACGCCTTTCTTACCCCCTGGATCTCAGACATCAAAGGTGTGAGTAGCAATCCTTCTACTCAATTTTGGGATATCCTCTGTGTTTAACGAAGCAGGTCATTCTCTGCCACTGCCACACTGTTTGTTAGTCAGGCATTTGACATCTATTTCAAAAGCATGTGAAAAGATGAAGTGTGAAGCACAAATGTAGGCTGTAGGTAAAGGTGTGTCTAGCTTATTGGCCAAATACTGTATGATTAGTTCCTGGATGTTGATGATCTAAACCTGATTATGAGATTACATAAGTAATTGGAGAAGAAAGGGACTACTGAAAATGATGCTTTGGCTTAGCGCAAAAAATTAATGTTGCGGTAGTTCAGTGCTAGGTTTAAACATACCTCTCTATGTACGGGCTGATCTGAAGCCAGATATCTTATGCTCTTAATCTTCGAAAATGCTGCATTTGTTCTGTGCGAAAAGGTAATGCTGTAGTAGTTCATCAGCAACCTAGTTTGGTGTGAGGTTTTACCTAGGCATTTCAAATCATGGAACCAAACATATCTCTTTTTTGCTTGATTTTCCTGATAAGTCTGATCTGAAGCCAAAAGTCTTTCTTATGTTCTTCGGTAGAGTATCTTTCCTGTCCAAATGTATTAGATGTCATCCATTTAGGAGAACGACACCAAAACACTGGAGGTTTATTAATCTGCTCCTTCAGATTTGTTGTTGTTTTATAGTTCCCATCACCCCCCTAGAAATTCGTACCTCAGGGTGGGATTGGATGCAAGTGTTAATATTTTCTAGACCGTTTAACTCCCTCTCCTGAAGCAGAATGAGCAACATAAAAACCATCACAGTTCTCCAGTATTGACCTTTCCAATTTGATTAAATGGAAGACCGATTCTCATGATTGCATGTTTAATCTGATTCAAATAATGAGAGATACTTGGTGAAAGCAGGGAGTCACACAACCAACAACAATAGAAAGAAAAGAATAGATAGGGATTGAGGAGGGGGAAAACCACTTAGCAGTAGCTCATAGTTAAAATGGAGAAGCATAGTATAGTTGTGGTTATAAAAAGAAAAAGCACACTCCTACTGTGATAACTTTATCTGCCTGGGAATAGAATGTCATCACTGCTGCTTACTGTCTTTAACAAAAGGAACTTTTGGTAGTTTCTGAAGAACCTTCTCATCCAAATGACTGTACTGTCTCTTGAGTTCTTTTTTGGCCTTCTGTGCATAGATATCCACTTGATCTTCATGTTTCTCATAGAACCAAGGTACTGTCAACAGCATGACAAATACTGTCCAAAAAACAAATAATTTATTATCTCGCTGATGGATGACAAGGAAATATTTTGAGTTCCACTATCATTCCTAACTTCTTTCCCGTTTGGATAGTAAAATCTGTTATTCGAATTCTATGAATTCCAGGAAGGCATTTGGTACATTAATGAAGAATGATATACAGTGGTCAGCAATAAATTTCCAACAGCCAGACAACTTTGATCAGGGATTAAGAAAAACTGGTCCAGAAACTGAGCAGTCGATTGCATTTCCATAATATAGGGAGCAAATTTCATAAATTTGTCTTCTGCAGCTGATAGAAAGAAGAAAAGGTAAGAGAACTTACAGATGTAAACAAGGGTCAGAAAATCGAACCAGCTGCCAACGATAGACACAATCCACAAGCCTAAAATACTCTGCAGAGTGACATAGGATGTCGCACTTGAGAAACATAAATGAAATGAAAGTATACATAACACAAAGCTGAGGGTAGTGAGAGATTTGTACATATAGGAACTTCTTCAAATCCTTTCCAGAAGCCACTTCCCAGAAGACACCAAATGCACAGTTGAATCTGTCCCTCAACAGGAGAGCAACCTCAGTCCACAATTTCTCTGGCAATACTATCTCTGGAAATTCCATAGGAGTCCTGCCAGGGAGTACAATATGATCTTATCACCTAATGTATACACTCGGAATGATAGGAGAGCGTAAGAAGCATAGCGACTATAAAGTAACTCCTATAAGATACATGACAAAAATCCAGAGAACAGAATTTATAAGGCATGTGAAAAATAAAGTGAAGTTTTTGAGGCAAGGGAACTCACTTATTGACAAAGTGGGAGATATTTGACCAAAAGAACAAGATGGCCAAGGTAAGTATGAGAGAATGGCAAATAAAAGTGAGCAAATGATAACCAATCCATTCGAAGAGCAGCCATATGACAGTGGCAGCAGCAAGCATCCCTGCTGAAATCTGCTTGTTCCTCCACAGCAAAATATCAGCGGCTGATACAAGAGTTTTTATTACCAGAAATAATCATAAGTTTACATTTTACACAAAGGCCAAAGCAAATCAAGAATGATAGATAATGCAAAAATAAGTACTCCATCTGTTCTATTTTATATGTTACTCTTTCCTTTTTGGTTTGTTTCAGAAAGAATGACACCTTTTTATATTTAGAAACTCTTTAACTTTAAACTTTCCTTTTATCCTTAATAACACGCTTTTATAGCTATGGAAATTATTATCATGGTGCCCAGTCAAATACCGCGATATAACAATTACTGAATAAGACATACGTTTGCCACCGCCTAGGGCGGCATGGACAGGTTTCTGGCGGCCAAAGAGGTGAGACTTCTCGTTGGTGGGGCGTCGAAAATCATCGCCGTCGGTGGATGATGAAGAAGAATAATCACGGTGATCAACGGTCCCTTGCACCTCTTTCGCTGAAGAATCAGGAACAATTTCCTCCACTGAATCGGACATGGTGACCCCGGGACTGAAAATAGATTACAAGTTAATTATCGGAAGCATAATAACAAGTTTTGTTGTAGAAACTACTTTCTATTAACAGAGGGCAGGGGAGCCCGGTGCACTAAGCTCCCGCTATGCGCGGAGTCCGGGGAAGGGCCGGACCGTAAGGTCTACTTACCCTGCATTTCTGCAAGAGGTTGTTTCCACGGCTCGAACCCATGACCTCCCGGTTACATGGCAGCAACTTTACCAGTTACGCCAAGGCTCCCCTCCTCCTTTCTATTAACAAAAACCCTAAATTACATATATCCATTATATCAATAAAAAACCCTAAGGATACTATTCCGGGATAGAATTTGGGTTTGTATTTGTCCCATATTTGATTATAGGTATTAGCTAATTCCGGGATAGATGTTGTATCAAAATGATGAATCTCATGGGATATCCTTGTCTATCGTATAATTTAACCAAAAGACTATTGAAAAAGTTATTTTACACTCCCCACAAAGTGAAAACTCAGATGGAAAATCAAATCATTTGAATAAGAAGAAGTAATTCAAAGAACATATATGCATGAAAATAGAAGGGCTGCATTATCCATGCAGCGATGCAATAAGTAGCAAAGAACAAATAATTAAGGATATGTAAATTTAGTTCTTACCGCGTGAATGTAAGGAAGGAAGTAACAAAAAGAGTCTTGTGAACTTTTGTTGTTGTTGTTGAAGAGTGAGGGTTGGGTTACTGATCCATCAGTTTTTCCTGTACTTAGTTTCTTTTCTTGTGTTCTCTATACGTGTAACACGTAATTTTCAAATTCTGTTTTACACTGTTACTGAATCATTCAACGGAGAGAGTAGCGGACAGGTTCCCTCTAACCATATATCTCCCAATATTCTCGCATAACAATGTTCCCTTATCTTTTCTATGAAATTTAAGGGAAACTTCATATATATTTCACGAGTTAATTAGCCCGCACTTTGCACAGTCAAATATATCCTTTTGTAAATGAATATATATATATATATATATATATGCGGATCCAGAATTTAGAGGCTCCGGGTGTCAAATTTTTTTAATGTAGTCATATTACAATTTACATTAGTCTAAATAAGGTATAAATTTAATCGGTTTGGTCTATTTGGATTTCGGTTCGGATTATTCGTCTTTGGAGTTAATATAAACAAATCGATCGAGCAAAAAGATTACGTAATAAGTATGATAACTTGGAAAAAAACATAAAAATTCAACTAGATCATGCATTTTGTACAAGAAAAAAGGCTCGTTATCACTTCATATTTAGATACTTAAGGCAAAAACTTATACTAATAAGCACTGTAAATATTAAGTAAGTTTACGGATATTTTTTATGAAAATTAACTCACTCAATATTATATACAATTGTCCTACTTTAGAGCAACCCGACAACAAAATAAACTTTCATCATTGATTAAAACAATAACTTATTAGAGGATTTTTTTTATATTTTATTTTTGCAAATAGATTTTCAGAGTTGTAGTCCTGGAGAAAATAATTAATTTTTCTTTATCTATTGATAAATCAGGGGGGAGTAAGAAAAGTGCAACAATGGGGACTTCTTTGAATAGATTTGTGAAAGAATTTTTTTTTATACTTTCTGTTAAATGTTTAAAGAAAGAAGAAGGAGAAAAGAAATTTCAAAATAACTAATAAAATTAAAGAAAAAAGAAACAAAGGATCCTCCCGTAATTGTCTTAAATGCAAAACAAAAGCTTTTTGAAAAGTGAGGTGGGCTAGATTTAAACCCCCGCCATTTGGGTGAAAACGACAATGCCTTGTCAGTGGCACCTTGAGCCTTATTGGTACAAAGGGTGCCACTTAAAATATTATATGCATTCCTTCTATATATACATGCATGTATACATAGTATTGTATAGTCTCGGCCAAAGCTTGCGAATGGCGCACCACCCCGTCCCTTTCTATTCCTAATTAATTCTTTTTAAATCCTACATAATTTTCTTGACCGAAGGAATATGTAACGACATCTCAAGTAAAACATGAAACAATTCATTTAAATTATTATATTCGGACTTATAAGGAAAAGATACATAAATTCCTGTAGTTGATACGTAAAATAAAGATATCAATATTAATCCCTATATCTAGCTTAAAGCATTTGTACTACTAAAGAAATGTCATTTTCAAAATGCGTAAAATAGAGAACTAAGAAGAGATAGGTTTATTAGCCTCAAACCTCTCCTGAGTGATGACTAAAAAGGAAAAACATAAAGATAAAGACTAAAAATGTCACGACCCAAGTTCTCCCTCCGTGAACTGTCGTGACGGCACCTAGTCGCTACGACTAGGTAAGCTTAACAATTTCGGAAAAGGGGAAATAAAATACAAAACTAGCAATTTACGGATAACATAATAAAAAGGTTTAACATGCCGCTCGGCATATACAATACCACTCACTCAAAAATTTAACAAAGACACTCTCAAAATCCGGAATCTCATGAAATCACAAGCTAGAGAAATTTACACAGTGTTCTAACTCCAGAACGTCTAAACAAAAGTAAATACAGGAAGTCTAAAGCTAAATGGGAGAGTAGAGAGGGGCTTCTAGGTCTGCGGACGCGGCAAATATACCTCGAAGTCTCTGAAATCGCCCCCCCTCCCCCTCACTGATAGAACGGCTGAGCAGAAGAACCTGGATCTGCACACGAAAAACATGTGCAGGAAAGGGCATGAGTACACCATAGCGGTACCCAGTAAGTGCCGAGCCTAACCTCGGTCGAGTAGTGACGGGAAGATCAGGGCCCTACTGGTTATATAATTATATAATAAGGTAAAACAGTGTAGACATGACAATATAATTAAAAATGCTAACAGTCAATTAACATGAAATCTTAGAAAGGAAATAACTCAGTAAGCAATAATAACAACAGGGGATCTCCCACGATAACGTCCCGTAATCCCAAACGTAAATGTGTAGGGGGATCTCCCGAAATACCGATCCGTAGTCCCAAAATAAATATCCTAGTACAGGGGGATCTCCCGGGATATCGTCCCGTAGTCCCAAATATAAATGTGCATGGGGATCTCCCGGAATACCGATCCGTAGTCCCAAAGTAAATATGCAGGGAGATCTCCCGGGATAACGTATCGTAGTCCCAAAGTAAACACACAACAGTCTCAAGAAAGAAATCTACAATTCTATTCAAGTTCGTACCAAGAAACAGGAATTTCTACTCTAAACATGCTGCACAGAATCCAAGTAAGTAATTTAAGCAGATAAAACAGTTAAGTCACTTAAGCATGCTTTCCTAAGCTAAACAGTAGGCTTCTAATACAAGTAGTGCTCAATTAAAAGAGAACACAGATATTTACTTAATGAAAACCAGGTTTTTCAATAATTAGCACGTGTACGCACTCGTCACCTCACGTACACAACATTCATATAACAACAATACCAAAATCCTAAGGGGAGTCCCCCCCTCCCCCCCCCCCCCAAGGTTAGGCAAGCCACTTACCTCGAACCAAGCTCAATCAATCTAAAATCATGCCCTTACCATGAGTATCCAACTCCGAGTGGCCCAAATCTAATCATATCAATTTCATAATGTAAATATAACTACAACCAACAAGTTTAGATAAAGGAATCGAAGCTAAGGAAAGAAAATAGAAAAACGCCCAAAAATCCTCCCCGGGCCTACGTCTCGGAATCGGGTAAAAATTACGGATCATGAACATCCATTCACTCACGAGTCTAACCATACCAAAATCACTCAAATCTGATACCAAAACCTCGATCAAAATCCTAAAATTCGGCCTAAGAACTTTTCTCAATTTCTCCTAATTTTTCACCCCAATTCCGAAATTTAACTATGAATTTAAGCTTAGATTAATGGGATACAATCAAAAAGGGGTTAGGAATCATTACCCACTAATCTTCTCTTCAAAATCCCCACAGAATCGTCTTCCCCCGAGCTCCAATTTGATTTTTGAAGTTATGAACTCAAACCCTCGATTTTCATATTTCTGCCCAGCGATTTCCGCTTATGCGAGGGGTCTACTGCACCTGCGGTCCCGCTCCTGCATCTTCTACACCGCACCTGCGGATTTTCATTAAACAGCCAGATTCCGCACCCGCGACCCTTTATTCGCAAATGCGGTTCCGCTTTTGCGGTCCTTGGGCCGCATCTGCGACCAGCTTCCTTGTGCCTCAGACCGCATCTGCGGTTCCCAGCCCGCTTCTGCGGCGCCGCACCTGCGGTCCAAACTCCGCAGGTGCGAAACCAACAGGTTCAACAACTTTAGCAATTGCCTAAGTCCAAATCAACTTCCGTTAAGCATCCAAACTCACCCGAGGCCAATCCTAAAACATCATACGAACTTATTCCAACCCTCAAATCACATCAAACTACGCTAAAACCACGATTCACCCTCCAATCCAAGCCTAATGAACTTGAAATCTCAAGAATTCTACAACCAATGACAAAACCAACCAAACCAAGTCCCATTGACCCCAAATTTTGCATACAAGTCACATTCAACACTATGGAACTATTCCAACTTTCGGAATCGGATTTCGACCCCGATATCAAAACTTCACTATCGATCCGGAAACTTCAAAAATTTAACTTTCGGCATTTCAAGCCTAAATAAGCTACAGACCTCCAAAACACAATCCGAACACGCCCCTAAGCCCGAAATCACCCAACGAAGCTAACGGAATCGACGGAATTTCATTCCGAGACCGTCTTCACACTGCTCCAAAACACTCGGAAACTCAAAATGAAACTTTCCGGCAACCCACAATAGCAGAAATAAATACAGAAAAAGCAGTTAATAGGGGATCAGGGTGTAAATTCTCAAAACGACCGGTCGGGTCGTTAAATCCTCCCCCTCTTAAAACATTCGTTCGTCCTCGAACGAGCATAGAGACATACCTGAAGTGGTAAAAAGATGAGGGTAACGGCTGCGCATATCTTGGTCGATCTTCCAAGTCGCCTCCTTGACCGGCTGACCCCGCCACCGAACCTTTACTGATGCAATGCTCTTTGACCTCAACTTTCGAACCTGCCTGTCCAATATAGCCACTGGGTCCTCAACATAAGATAGATCCTTGTCCAACTGGACTGAACTGAAATCGAACACGTGCGACGGATCACCGTGATACCTTCGGAGCATCGAAATATGAAATACCGGATGAACTCCAGCTAGGCTGGGAGGTAAGGCAAGCTCATAAGCAACCTCCCCAACACGTCGCAATACCTCAAAGGGACCAATAAACCTCGGACTCAATTTCTCTTTCTTCCCAAATCTCATAATGCCCTTCATAGGCGAAGCCCGAAGCAAGACCCGTTCTCCAACCATAAATGAAACATCGCGAACCTTCCGGTCCGCATAACTCTTCTGTCTGGATTGGGCTATGTGGAGTCTATCTTGAATCACCTTAACCTTCTCCAAGGCGTCCTGAACCAAGTCTGTGCCTAATAATCTAGCCTCACCCGGCTCGAACCAACCCACAGGGGATCTACACCGCCTACCATACAAAGCCTCGTAAGGTGCCATCTGAATGCAGGATTGATAACTGTTTTTATAGGCAAACTCCGCCAGTGGCAAGAACTGATCCCGAGGACCTCCAAAATCCATCACACACGCACGGAGCATATCCTCAAGAATCTAAAAAATGCGCTCGAACTGTCCGTCTATCTGTGGGTGAAATGATGTGCTCAACTCCACCGGTACCCAACTCATGTTGTACGACCCTCCAGAACTGTGATGTG